GTTCAGTTCAGTTCAGTTCAGTTGCGTTTATTTATAGGCCGCCCTTTTCCCTGAGGGGACTCAGGGCGGCTAACAACTTATGGGAGGGGAAGACGTGCAATAACATAAAAATACAGTATGTGGTTAAGATCAAACAACATTCATTCAACATTCGGGCGGGGGCAAACTATAATCTAAGATCAGTGGACTTCAACTCCCAGAATTCTCCCACCAGTAGCCTGGCAGGGGGATTCTGGTAGTTGAAGTTCACCCATCTTCAAGCTGCCAAGGTTGAGAAACACTGCTCTAAAAGAATGTAAATGACCAGCTGTCTGCAAGGAGTATCAATCCTTCCATTCCCCACCATCCTAGTCAGAGCTGAAGAAGCTTCTTGGATGAGAAGTGAAACATCTTCAAAAGAAAAACCAGAAAGTCCAGTTGCCTCTTGAAAAAAACCACCTTTGGGACAAGCACAACTTGGATGATGGAGAATCTCTACAGACTCTCGCTGGACCTTACCTCTTTTATTGTCTTGACCACTTCAAACTCGGCCGAGGTGTGGAAGTCATAGCCCTCTTTCCGTAGCAGCAAGCGGAGGTAGCGGGATACATCCCGCCCGGCAATGTCGACCCGCATAATGGAGTGAGGCATGGCAAAGCCCTCGTAGATGGGCACTGCATGTGTCACGCCGTCGCCAGCATCGAGCACGACTCCCGTGGTGCGGCCTGTGGCATAACTGGAAGAAGGCAGAGGGAGATGGGGTAGTCAGTCCATTCGGCTAAGGAACCAAGTGGACCAAGGTCTGGGCCTGACTGAAGTTTCTTTCCAGCATTGGTTATTCCTTCACATCATGAGACAATTCCTAAAAAATGCATCTGCAACACAGGTAGTGCTCCGAGAGGTGGTAAGTCACTTCTCATCCAGCCTACTTCCACTTCCAGCAATTGGAAACGTACAGACTGACGTACTGCTTTTTCAAAAGGCAACTGGACTTTCTTGGTGTTTTCCTTGAAAATACTTCGCTTCTCATCCAAGAAGCTTCTGGGATGAGAAGCGAAATGTTTTCAAGGAAAAGAAACCAAGAAAGGCCAGGTGCATCTTTGGTACCTCTTTCTGTAAGTTTCCAAATGCTGGAAGTGGAGGTTGGCTGGATGGGAAGTGACTTAGCACCTCTGGGCTTCAGTTATGGTTGACTTTGTATGTTCTGCATGACTTTTATGGCCCACAATTGCTTACACAGACACTTACAGACTGAGGACAGCTTGCATGGAGATGAAGAGTGCAGGGACGTTGAAAGTCTCAAAGAAAACTTCGGCAGCCTTTTCCCGGTTTTTGCTAGGGTTTAGGGGGGCTTCTGTCAAGAGAACAGGATGCTGGAAGGAAAACAGAGGGTCCACTTCAATGTCACAAAACCAATGGAATGTTTACAAACCCCTTTTCCCATCAGACATACCACCCAGGCTCTCAAAAGGGCCCCCAATCCAGTAAGAAGCCACTAAAATTGCAGCTGCCAACAAAAGTGCATATAGTCAAGGCNTGCCGAGGCTCACTTTGTTCCTAACACAGAGCAGGACAAATTGGGTTTTGCCCTCATATTTGATTTCAAATGATAAAGAGACGTTTGCATTGCTGGTGTTCAAATAGGGCCAGCTGCTGCAGAGGTAATAAATAGAATCAGACGGAATAATATAAGGATTCAGATAATGGAGGAGACATCCATTCTATACAGCATTTTTTTAAACAGGAGGTGGTGGGGAAATAAGTGAATGAGTTTCCACTATCATAGTAGAAAAATTTGTGGGGAGCCTTTGGATGATTCAGACTGTCTGAAAAATGTTTCCCTCTTTTTCTCCCTCCCGGACAGGTTTCAGGGGGAGATGAAAAGTGGAAAAATTCATGGCATTGACTTGTTTGCAAATTGAACCAATTCATGTTTCCCAAGCCAGAGCAAAATGATTTTATAATACAGGCCACTATTCAAACGTGCCAATAAAGTCATATTGTGTCCATAATTTATATAGACGTAGATACCACTAGGCTTCTAGGCCCGGTTAAAAATGCTGCTCATTATTTTTTATAGCTCTAAATGGCAGAATGCCAAGATACCCCAGGCAAGGCTTTGTTAGAATTGAATCTTCCCGTCTGGTCTGATTCCACAACAGAGCTGTGGGTGAAATGGCAGGACAACCAGTGGTGAGATTCAGCTAGTTCACACCTATTTGGGAGAACCGGTTGTTAACTTTCTAAGCAGTTTGGAGAACCAGTTGTTGGAAGAACTCTTACTTTGTTTTTTTCCCCACTTTACAGGGCTAATCCTGTAAGGAATCCAGGAAGGAAACATTCTGGTGTTATTTCTAGCCTAATCTTTATTGCCCTCCTTACAGAAACTGCCTCTTCAGTTAACCCTTATTACATTGTAACTGCTAAGGCCAAGCACCCATCGACGTGAGTGACGTTGAGTTGGCCACACATACCCAGTCGCATGTCCACCGAGCCCCGCCTATCCAGGTGGTCATTAGGGCAGAGACCCAGTTGTTAAATTATTTGAATCTCACCACTGCCGATACTCCCCACTTTATGGAACACCTCCCCTTCCCCACAAACATGGGCCACTTTCTTGCTGCAGTTCCAGAATAGGTTAAAATTATTTTACTTTAATGAGATTTTTCTTTTGTCTTGGTTGTTAAGTGGATGTCACAGTCGCAAAGCAAACCCCACAATCACAAAGCAAACGGCATGGTCATTAAGCAAACCCATTCATAATCTGTGAGCTTCCCATCCAGCTTCGGACAAGCAAAGCCAATTAGGGAAGCTGTATTTGCTTAATGACTATGTGATTCATTTAATGACTGCGGTAAAAACCACCATTCAGTCATGCTATGAGTTGCTTTATGACTGCACCAACTTATGATGGAAATTCTGGTTCTAATTCTGGTCGTAAGTCGAGGGCTGCTTATATAAAACCTATGTGATTGTCTCCAAAAGGAACTTTTGTCATATTTCCACCAGAAAATACATTTTTAACAGTGAAAGCACCCAAATCTTAAATCCTGAATGAAGTAAAGCTCTGATTAGTTGAACAAAAAGGAGTTGAATCCTTAAATGCCTTTGCAGCTAAACCACAGCCAAAGAGAGTCAAGACGGAACTGGTGAGGCTATTTCAAGTCCATGTTATTATCTTCTGTTTATTCAAAATTTTATTGCCGTTCCAATTTAAATTGCAAGTTATTTTAATATATATGAACACTCATGTTAAGTGGCTATTTCAGCTTCAGTTTCTTAGGGAATATGTATTTGCAAAGGTGTTTTTAATCATAAAACATAGTTAAAATACATATCATACATTTTTGGGGGGGAATGAGTACCTGCATAAATATGTTCCTACTACAGGCTGCCAAGTTATTATTAAAATATGCTGGAGAACTGAATCTTTAATTGTCTCAGCAGTGTTTTAAAATATAGTAAGTAGCTTTGGGTGAAACAACAACAGCAAAGGATATCACTAAAGAGTATTCATATCTGAACACCTTTTTATGTATTAATATCTTCCTTAATACATTTGGCTATATAATATGTTTAAAATATTTCTCTTTCTCTTTAAGCCAATCCTTCTGCCTCTCTCTATATGGTAAGCAGATCATTTCCCAATATTTTTTTTGTCTTTCAATTCTTTTTGCTGTTGTCATTACTTCATTTTTCTTTGGAATTCCACATTGATTTGTTTAAGGAAAACAAATAAAATGAAACAAAGGGGTAATATTTGAGAATCTCTCATTATAGAACAGGGGTGTCAAACTCAATTTCATTAAGCGCTGCATCAAGGTTGTGAGTGGGTGTGGCCAGGGCGGGTGTGGCCAGCTTGACATCCTTCAGCCCTCTGCCAGTGAAAACAGAGTCCTCCCAAGGCCCTCCTGAGCTTCGTTTTCACTGGCAGAGAGCTGCAGTAGACCGTTGCAGCCAAAAACAGAGCTCGGGAGGACCACATGGGGAGATCCTGAGCGCTGCACTCGCACAGGCACCACAGGCTGCTCCTTTGCTGTTCCCAGGGTGGCCCTGCAGGCCAGAGCTAAGCACCCCACAGGCCCAATCTGGCCTGTGGGCCTTGAGTTTGACATTTTTCATTTTTTTTCATTTCATTTATTTGGGATTTATAGGCCGCCCTTTTCCCTGAGGGGACTCAGGGCGGCTTACATTCATAGGAAAAGGGGGGGTGCAATATAAA